ACATAATTACTAATCCAACCGCTGGAATCGAAACCAGATGCTCTTTGAAGAATCTTTGTATTTTTGATGCTTTTTTATCTCTTATTGAACCTAAAAATATTGCTAAGGCTTTGCAGGATGCATACTGGGTGAACGCAATGCAAGATGAACTCAATCAATTTAAAAGAAGTCAAGTGTGGCATCTGGTACCAAAACCCAAGGACAAATTAGTAATTGGCACAAAATGGGTCTTCAAAAACAAACTTGACGAAGTTGGAACAGTTACAAGAAACAAGGCAAGATTGGTAGTTCAAGGATATAGTCAAGAGGAAGGCATAGACTATGATGAGACTTTTGCTCCAGTTGCAAGATTAGAAGGAATTAGACTCCTTATAACCTTTGCTGCCTACATGGAATTCACTCTCCATCAGATGGATGTCAAGAGTGCCTTCTTCAATGGCTATCTAAATGAAGAAGTGTTTGTCAAGCAACCTCCAGGCTTTGAAAGCAAGGAATGTCCTGATCATGTGTACAAGCTTGACAAGGCATTTTATGGGCTCAAGCAGGCTCCAAGAGCATGGTATGAAAGATTGTCAAAATTCTTGCTTGAGCATGGCTACAAGAGAGGTAAAATTGACAATACTTTATTCTTGAAAGAAAAAGGTAAAGATCTCTTGGTAGATCAGATATATGATGATGATATAATCTTTGGAGCAACTACTGATAATTTAAGTAAAGAATTTGCCAAACTAATGGGGAGTGAATTTGAAATGAGTATGATGGGTGAGCTTAATTTCTTTTTAGGCTTACAAATTAAACAAAATTTAAACGAAACTATGATCCATCAATAGAAGTATGTAAAAGAGTTACTTAAAAGGTTTAAAATGGAAGATTCCAAAGAAATTTATACTCCTATAGCAACAACCATAAAATTGGATGTAGATAAACTTGGTTTATCTGTTGATCAGAAGTTGTATAGGGGAATAATTGGCTCTTTGTTATATCTCACTGCTAGCAGACCTGACATTATTTTCATTGTAGGCCTTTGTGCTAGATTTCAGACAAATCCAAAGGAGTCTCACTTGACTGCTATCAAAAGGATCTTGAGATACCTAAAATGCACCACTAACATTTGTCTATGGTATCCAAAAGGTAGTAATTTCAACTTAGTGGGATATGTCGATGCTGATTATACAGGTTTTGTTGTGAATAGAAAAAATACCTCAGGTATGGCACATTTGTTTAGCTCATGTCTTGTGTCTTAGGCCACCAAAAAGCAAAATTTTGTAGCCTTATTTACTGCTGAAGCTGAGTATGTTGTTGCTGCCTCATGTTGTGCTCAATTGTTGTGGATCAAACAACAATTAATGAACTTTGGAATTGATATAGGTTGTATCCCCATCTTTTGTGATAACACCAGTGTAATTAGTATGACCAAGAACCTGGTTCATCACAAAAGAACTAAGCACATAGATGTTAGGCATCACTTTTTGAGGGACAACTATGAAAAGGGTTTGGTCACTGTGGAATTTTGTGCTACTGACAAGCAAATAGCTGAAAGCTCTAAGTAGAGATCACTTTGAAAGAAACAGGTTAGAATTGGGGATGATTAAGATCACCTAAAAGGAACCAGTTCTAACTCAAAAATTGGTTAGACAATTTGTGAATTTCGTACATAATTAGATTAGATTTTGCTCAGTCTCATACTTTTACTGGTATACTCTTGTGCCATGTGCTAAAATGTCTCATTAATCTCTAATGATATTATTTTTATTTTCTTGAAAAATTAAAACTTACACAAGAGATTTTTCAGTGAAGAACCTGGTTCATCAAGATTATATGGTACGTGCCCTCCACTCTGCATATTTTGAAATAATTATATTTGGATCATGATCAAAAGGAGAGTCCCATTTAATCCTAACCTCATTGAGCTTATCCGTTACGAAATGAACCAGTTTCACCCAAAGAGAGTCCCAAAACGCAATAAGTACCTAGATTCTAGGGACAGTCCTCAACGTCTTTTCAAACTGACTCCCAATTTGATTAGACTTCTGAGCTTCTGAAAAAGCTGTCACTACCCAATTAAATTCTACCTCTTTATATTGATTTGATCTTAGCTGTTTCTTTACTTCTAAATTTCCAGCTACTAAATAATTCTCTCTATCTTCTCTCATCTTCTAAATACACACATACTCATCCTCTAACCATCAATCGCTAAAATCTCTTAAAATCTCTCATCACCACCCAAAGAATCCGCACCCACACCTTCAACCACACCCTCAATCACACCTATCTCTAAGACAGGAAGATTCAAGATGCTTGCTCGCAATATAATCGCTAGGAGGAGAACAAATCAAGAAAATCAATGAGCAACTGAGGGCAAAGTCAGGCAGATGAACCCCAAAAATCTGAAGATTCCTTCAAGTCTGCAACTGAGGGGGAAGAAACTGTTTCATCTGAAACAGAACAGGTAACATTTGGTCCAAAAATTACATCTGAGACAATCTCTGAGGTTGCTGAAAATCTGGAAAATAAGTTTTTTTTGGTAGGAACTACGGCTGGGGTTGAAACAACTAAGTCTGGGAAACTGGGTGGTAAAAATAAAAAGAAAAAAGAAAAAGAGAGTGAGGGTTCTCAAGGTGATGTGAGGGAATGAAAAAAGGAGTGGCTGAATCTTCACCCACTCCTGTTGGTTTGACTGAAGAAATAGGAGCTATGGTAGTGTGGAGTGAGGAATCTGCTGGAGAGGAAGAAAGTTTGAGAGAAAAAGGGAGTAGTGGGTCTGGAGAAGCTACTGAGGGGTTGGTTAGGTTAGGGAAGAATGTTCAAGAACCTGTTTCACCTGTGAAGGAACCCCTCGAAGACCTATTGAAACGAGTGTCTGACAGTTACAATCCTAAGCAAAAGAAGAGTTCAGGAGTTAAAATCTTTGGAACTGCTTAGGAAAACAAGAAGAGAAAGGTTGCCTCTTCTATCTCTGTAGAGACTCCTCCTACAAAAAGAAGAGATACAAGGAGTCAGAAGAAGCAGAGTGAGGCTGAACTGGAAAAAGCCCTAGTACAGAGTAAAAGAAAAGATGCTGCAAAGGGAAAGAAGAAAGTGGTTGAGCCTGTTGAGGCAGTTGAAATTGAGAAGATAGAGTTGGTTCTTCGTGATGAAGACAAGGCAGAGGAGGAAGAGGTTGCGACTCCAAAGACAAAGAAAAAAAAAGAGTTCCAACAAGAAGTCCCCTTCAAAGACAAAGTCTGCAGAACCTTCCACCTTGGCGAAAAGAACCAGGTCTATCATGAAATCTAGAAAAGTGAAAGTAGTGGAAGAAAAAGAAGAAGAAGAAGAAGAAGAAGAAGAAGAAGAAGAAGAAGAAGAAGAAGAAACCAATGAAGAACAGGACAAGAAGGAGAAGTTTGGAAAAAGAACCATCTTGAAGGGTGGACTCCTCAGGGACTTGGAGGAGGAAGGCATGGTCATGTTGCTGCAAAAACTACAACTCCAGGGTTGGAAGGACATGGTCCTTCAGATCGATAGAAGGCTTGCCAGGGTTGAGATTGTAGAGTTCATGGCAAATTATGAGATAAAAATGGCAGACTCACCAGTGTGGTGAATGGAGTGACTGTGAGCTTCGACGACAAAAAATTGGGAGAGATTCTGGGTATACCTGCTGAAGGGTACAATGATTACAAAAAATTCAAATGGCCAAGCCTAGAGAACCTCCCTACCTCCTTTGCTATTACAAAGAAGTTTGATGATAATGAGTTAGAGCTAGAGGCCAAGTCTGTATACAATAGTGAGATGAAGCCACCCCACAAAGTGTTATTTGAATTTATTAACAAGGTTGTGCTGCCCAAGCAGGAAAGAAGACACATTGCCACATCCATGGACCTGGTTCTTATGAAATATCTGGACAGTGGAAGGCAAATCAATTGGCCTAGGTTTATCATCCAGCTTCTTGATAGGGTTCTAACTGGCACCAAAACTCATTCCACATCCTATGATTTCATTCTCACGGTTGTACTTGCTCACTTCAAGGTACCCTCAAGAAATGGGAAGTTGGTAATAGCAAGGATCACTTTGGGGCAAACACTTTGACTGTATGTGATTATGAAGTCTACACTACTCCCAAAGAACCTGGTTCATCCAAGAAGGTACCTGTGAACAGCAAAGTGCGAGCTTTGGTGTAGGAGAATGGGGCTAAGGATGCTGAGATTGAGAGGCTGAAGAAGAGGCTAGCTGAAGTAGAAACTGAGAGGGATGCTCTCAAGGCTGAGCTTGCAAAAGAGAAGGAGAAGAATGATGGCATTCTTCATGATATGCTGAAGCTACTTCAGGTCAGAAACCAAGAACCTGGTCCTTCCCAGCCTTAAAACCTCCCTAGCCTAGCCGAATGGGATTTCTTTTTGTTCTTTTTGCTCATGATCCAGTATCTTTATTCTTCTTTTTGCTTTGTGGATGATTAGTATCAATGTTAATCAAGTATTTTTGTACTCTAACTGTTTGTTGATACTTCTTAGATAGCTAATATCATTAGATTGATATATGATACTTGACTCCATGATTGTATTTGAAGTAGCCCCAATGGCCATGAGTAATATCTATTAAAATCTGGTTATCTAATATACTTATGCAACTTTTCGATGATGCCAAAAGGGTGAATACTGGTTGTGCTTTTCACTTGGACTGTGATGTTTATAACCTAGTGAACCTGGTCCTTGATAATTTGTGACTTTAAAATAGAATGTGTTCTAATATTGTGTTGATGTTGAGCTGAGTTGAAACAAGGCTTATGCTTATGAAAAGCCTAGAGTTTGTCATCAGCTAGAGGCTGGTTGCCACAAAGGGTCAGAGGTAATCCTTAGGTTTACAAAATTTTGTAAATATTGTTTTTGGCTTAGTGATTTAGTGAAATGTTAGAAAAAATCCTACTTGGTAGTAGGTCGTAGTTTTTTCACTTTTTGAGCCAGGTGTTTTCCACGTAAAAATACTTGTGTTCTTTACTTTCCGCATTTATTATTCCGCAACAGTAGTATAAGGAACACATAGAAGAACTGGGTTCTTCTATAATCCGTGTACGCAAAAAATTGGACATCACATAAATCACCTCCCTCTTGCGTGGTATTGAAGTACAAAACATCACTCTCCTTATCCCACATGAATCAAATCTTGAATACATTACATAATACGCGCGATAGGCTTCAATCATCTACAAAATCTCAAGGATAGAAAAGCTTGGCGAATAAAAGCTCATTCCAAGTATCTGGAAGTCCAGGCAAACACCAATGGAAACAATCAGCATAGCTAAATGGATTTGCTAGTTGCTCTGGTGTTAATGGATTCCATTGCTTCTTGTAAATTGATGTATGTGCATCTCTTCTGTAACTTGAGAGCTGTGTAATGTTGAGAAATGAGATGGGCACTTTGGATTTACCAAATTCTTCACCAATCACTTGCATTATGCTTTTTCTACTATCTGATCCCCAGTAATTTGGATCATCTATCATTTTAGTTTCATTGAAACAATTCTTATTTGCTTCGCCTCCCCATTCTGTGCTCCTGCCAATCAAAGAATAGACACTTATTTTTTCTCAGTAGGAATAATGCAAACCCAAATTATAAAAAGTTAATTGAACATATTAAAAAGTACTACTCAGAGAAATGTGGATCAGTAGTTCTTTTTTAAAACAAGAAAAATCGGTCAACTCTCACGATCCAATGCCCCAAAATTATATATGTAGACCTGGTAAAATCCTGACCAGTAATTCGAAATACTCTTTTTCAACTTCAAACTTCAAATAATTTTGGTTTTATTTCAAACAAATATTGTTCAATACGCTTTAAAGTATTTTTTTTTCTTTTGTTGGTCTAATATTTTTCCTTTTTTGTTAAAGTAAATATGCACTATGCAACAAGGGAAAGAGATGAGAATATTCATTTTAAGGAAGGGAAGGGGAAAAAAGAGGTTATTGTTTTACTCACTTTTCATGAGAAGGTGACATGCTAGTGAAAAAGACTCTGGTTTTCTTTAAATCCATATTCTCTTTAATCCATCTCAACATACTCTTCATTGTCATGCGATACGCATCCTCTGTGGATACCTCCACTATATTTTTTACGTCATCAAAAGACCCTTTCCTGGAAACAGTAAGAGATTCAGAATTTAAATATTATACGTTTTGAGTTGAAAGAATAAGTTCTGAAATAATTCGTGACCCAAGGGTTGGATTTGTCACAAATAAAAAGCAATAAAAATGAATAAATTATCAATAGAGCTTAGGAAATTACGAAATATTAAAATGGTAGCCACTCCTCCACCAAAGGTAAGTATTGAACACAATTATATCAGCCCCTTTCCAATATTTCCCATGTACATCAATTGAACCATTTCGAACAACTCTTTTATAGATTCTATGTTTAACTGCATCATCAGCATTTGATTCCAGCAGAAACGGTGCCCAGTAGAACTCAATTGTTGCATTATAACTCTGGAAATTCAAATATTAGCTAACTTATATTAGTATTATTAAATCAATGCAACTAAATTAACAGAATTGTAATGTGTAAGCTCAAAAATTGCAAGTGATGATCACCTTAATGGTAAAAACATCAAAATTACCAACAGTTTCCATGGATTTAGCATTCTCTGGAATGAGTCCATTGACAAGACAAATCAAAGAATGATGTTGTCCTCTATTCAAGGAATCGCCTACGAACAACATCCTCTTCCCCCGAAGTGTTTCCAGCAATAATGTCGCATTGAAACTGCCATTTTAAGGTTAATCAAGGCGTCATAAATCATAAGGAGAAAAACCAAGTATATTCTAAATGTCCAGTCCCAGACGTACGGGGTGTTAGATCTCACATCGATAGGAGATTTTAAAAATGGATCTCCTTATATAGTCTTGGATAATCTTCACCTAATGAATTAACTTTTAGGATTGAGTTAGGTCCAACATCTTTTTAATTATGCCGATTAATGATCAGTAAGTAACTACACTGATGTCAAAGAAATGAAAACTCTAGAAAATGGTCTAATGGATTCTTAATATAATCCATCTTATATATTTACTGACAGTATAAAAGAATTTTACCTCGGGAGAGAGCAACCATGAGGTTGCCATCTCCAATGTTGATAGTCTTTATCTGGCCTGCCATTTGCTTGACAAGTCAATTGTGGCGTTATGTACGGACACTCTGATTCTTCATACAAAGGCTTTTTCTCGTCCCAAACCCATTTTCCACTGAAAATATCGCATCCTTCCTGTGTCTCTCCTATTGCAAATGGTAACTTTTCTTTGCTCTTCTCTGCCAACAATTTTCATAAATTTCATCGTAAATATGAAATACTTATACAAGTAAAAAGGCGAGAGAGAAAAAAAAAATTAAAAATGCAGTTAATTTTAACCCAACTTCATGCGTGTAAATCAAAAAGATGTGCACAAAAAAAATAGTTTTTAATTTGGAATTTTTTGGTTTTTTCCCTACTTTTTGTGAGTGTTTCGATTTAGTTTTAAGAATTTAATTTTTTGGAATTTTCTTTTTATCGCATATTAGCAAACAGACGTGGATTTAGGACGGGTTCAGTAAGTTCAACCGAACCTTTTGCTTTCAGTTTGAACTATATGTACATATAACAACAACAACAATAACAAAAAATCAAGTGTAATCTCACAAGTGAGATTTGAGGAGGATAGTGTGTAAGCTGATAAAAAAAGAAAGCAGTAATAACTAATATTGATTCTCGATTACAAGAAATTAAAATATATACGTATAATAAGATTATACACATTGTAACCCACTGATTCTAACTCTTAGAGATATTATTTGTGCTTTGATTGGTTTAATTTGTTATATGTTCATGTTTGGATAAACAAACAAAACAGTTCTTTTATCTTGGACAAACATGCATAATCAATTCGTCCGAAAATTAAATAAATTAATCAAAAGTGAAACAAAAAGTGCAAATTCATTAGAATTACTCACTTATTCTTGAGGTAGAATTGTGTTGTTGGCTGGAAACTCTAAAGTCAAGCTGAACAAAAATGCTACTCGTGAATTCTTCTCTGTACAGAATAATGACAAGAACAATAAAGGGTAATAATATTAACAGAAATGGAGAAAGACGAACTTTTTTGAGAATAGAAGAGGGAAAAGGAGAAGAATTTGGAGGTGACTCCATTTCCTTTGAAGCCTTCTATTATTCATTGGGTTAATAAATACAGGAAAATATAGAGGTCACGTATAGAAATAATTGAAGGAAATAAATTTATTTCCAGCTAATTGCATCATTAATTATTTTGGATTATTTGTATCTATTCTCGTTGCTAAATTCTTACTATTATTATTACATTACATTTGAAGGCAATATGAAAAATATGTCAATGAGTCCAGTGTTTTAAAAGCCGTGGGCATAAGGCGGAGCGTTTTACATATGCCTCAGTGGGGCGTAAGCCCCGAGGCGCGGGGCGTAAGCCCCATAAGTATTTAATTTTTAATATTTTATAAAATAATATAATGACAGTTAATATTTATAAACATGTAAAATTGCATAAAAATTGAAGAAAATTATATATAGGTGTGCTCCAGCCCCACAAAAAACTAATCAAAACAATCTATTATACGTTACTTACAAGCACAAGTAATTTGAGTCTAAAAGAATAAAGTTTTCTATATGGAGGAACAAAAAGGATAATTAACCTGCAATTTAAACTTTAAATTTGTTGCTATGAAGAAAAATGTAGTTCTCTTTATATTTGTAAGAAAAATTAAATATTCGTTGCTTTTGGGAGATATTAGCAGACTAGCGGACAAGATAAAAAATTGAGAAAACCATGAATTAGGGCTTAAATCAATAAAAAGGGTCTTTACTTTTAATACTTTTGAGTTCCTTTTTAAACCTTTTGAGTAATTACCAAACTGACTTTTGAGAATTTGGGTATTATATGAAAGACAAGTTCAACAAATTTTGTTTTAATTTGAAAAAGTCTCTGGGGCTTACTCCTTACTAAAAAAAACGCGCCATGAACGCCCGGGCATACGCCCGGGCGTACGCCCCAAATTGCGGGGCATATGCCTTTTGAGACTTTCGCCCCACACCATCGCCCCGGGGCGTTTTTGGTACGTCTCACCCCGGGGATCGCCCCGAGACTCACCCCAGAAACGCCTTTTAAAACAGAGAATGAGTTCATTCCTCTAATGGCCTATTAAATGATGAGCATTATGAATGTTTACCCGTTAAATGATACAGTTTAATTTATACGTGGTTTCTGAACAAGTGAATTAATTCGATCCTGAAATAACAAGATAATTGAAGAAATATATAACACTTAGCCTTGATAGGAAGACGAAATGACAGAAATAAAGACTCTGTAGTGAAGCCTCCGGGCGCAACAATAATAAGAACAAGAATAGAAAATTAGAAGATTAGAGCTTTGAGTAGATTGTAGTATTAGTTTGCCAGAAAATTTATCCCCTTACAATGATAACAGAGCTCACTATTTATAGCTACATCTAGGAAATGAGGTCTTAGGATCGTGCCCTTCTTTAATGTCAATTATGAGGGTCATTGATGAAGATGTAACGATGAGCATAAATGTCAAATTCCTTATAACGGACAACGTACTTAATGCTGTGGAATATTCTCTATTAAATACCACCGGGCGAAGAGTATTTATTGCATCCTTATGAGCGTTATTCTTTCCGATGACAGACGGGACCGTTGCTTTCGGTTTTGGCTATCCTCCGTCTTAGGTTCCATGTGTCCCTCTTTTTGGCGGCCACGTAGCATAGCATATTTTACCCTATACAGATAGTCCCCAAGCTTTCCAGTGACATAACTATGTGTCATCGGGAAGTTGGTAGAAACACTCTTTTGGAAGGAATTACTATGATCCCCTCTGAAAGCTTGTGACGGTTGATTAGACGCAAGTCTCTCCGTATTTAATGCCCTGAACACGCGTCATCCCACGATTCAGCACAACTTTTGCTGATTATCGAGATAATCATGGCCATAAATTTAGCCTCCAAAACTTTTACTTATACGCATCAACCTTCTCCCTTTATACTCCGTAATTTTCCAAGTATTCTAAAACCTTTCTTGTTGTTAATAAACCTTTCTTTAACTCCCTTCAAATAAAAAAAAACTTTTCTTTTATCCAAATGTCTTCTTCTTCAAAGAACGTTATCTCTTCAAAGGGCAAGAACAAAGCCGGGGATGCTGCTCCTCCAACGGTGGATTCCATCATTCCTAGAAGTCTTATTACAACAAAATACTTCGAAGAGAAATTCCCTTCGGCTCTTCCTCGCACATGGGTTGTTGGAAGATATCCTTCTTCCATCCGTTCTTCCAGTATTCCAGTTTTGAAGCAAGACTACCATTGTCATGATTTGGATATTAAAAACTGGGGGTTACCCGCGATTGGTAATGGCACAACCAGAAGAAGAGTAGGGGAGACAAGGTTAGGCGCTGGGTAGCGCAGCACATCTGTTTCGGGTATAGAGGCGACGAGGGGTGCTAACCCGGCCGCCCCTGACCTAAGAAGAACTATTATCCTTATGACCAAACAAGGATCAACTTCTTACTTCCCGCAACCACTTTGGTACTTTGTTTATAGCTTTTTTAAGTTATGAATTGCGCAAGAAGTTCTTTCGGTTAAAACGTCGTGCAACTCGGAGGACATAAGACTTCTTGGTCAAGCCAAAAAGACCTTTCCCTTTGCTGCAGCTTTCACAANTGCCATGTGCTCCAAACTTGAACTCAACTTCCTTTTTTCACCAACATCCGCTTCTCACTCAAGAAACTGGTGAAAGTCCTTTCCCTTTGCTGCAGCTTTCACAGTCCCACTCCTCCTCAGACCAGACTGGGCTGCATTGCCGTACCTTCATACCTTCGCCCCGATGTCCTGTCTTAAGGTTCCCCCGAGCTACTTTATTAAAGCAGACTTTTTTATATTTATAAACAAGGTGGCATCTCGAAAGTGCCGCTAGTCGGTTTAATCATGTTTTCAGGCGGGTTTTCTTCTCCACCAACAACCAAGACACATGAAAGCGGACCATAGGTTCGAATCCTGCCACCTTTCTTGTGGATCATCATGTGGTTCCCGGATGAAAAGAGATCCCTTCCCCTCGCTTTCAAAAATGATGAATATGAAGTCCGGGAGGCAAAGGTCCCGGTAGGGGTCAGCAGCGTCGGGAGGCGGAGGTGAACTACAAGGACTCTTTCTCGTAGCCGATATCCCGTCCTTCTTCTGTAAGGATGGATTCGGGCTTAAGCCAACTCGACAAGAGCCTTGGATCAACTTGAATTGGCCAAGATTAAAGAACAAAAAGATCGAATAGGATTTTTCTTAATATCATTTGGATGGACTCAGATCCTTTTATGTAGGAGAGTCTTTGATGGGCTTCGAATTTGGATAGATCCAGTGGGCCTCTCTCTCTGTAGGCGTGCAAAACAACAGAGCCACTGCTCTTCGGGGTGATGAGGTGGACAATTCCTTACTCCAGCTATGCGCCTGATCTATCGGAGCGAGTGACCCTTCCCAAGGAGAGTTGTACATATTTTTACAAGTATCCATTTACTTTGGGTGTGTTCTCTTTGAGTGGAGAACTTGACTCCAATATTCCGGAGTTCTGCCTCCGCTATCAGGTATGTTTGGCACAAGTCTTTCTGTATGGAGGACGATTTCCTGTCTTCGGTGCTTGTGCCAAGAGACGGGAGAGGAGCTATCTTTAGCTCATGTGATGAATTTTTATTCCCCCAAATTCTTCCGTGGGGGGATGATAAATTCCAACAAACGTGGCCACCATGCTCTGTTATCTAGTATGGATAATGACAACGACTGTGGGTGGATGGAACAGTTTGTTGTAGTTTCCACCAACGATATCATTCCGGAAATGACTTCATCCTTTCCGAAAGCATGGAACCGCACTCGTAAGCTCCTTCTTTAATATTTATTTTATTATATATTCTTTTATACTCATATTGATCCTCCATCTTCCGTTTGTTTCAGCAACTCGATGGGTCCCACTGACGGTTGAAGGCTTGGACCAGTGGGTCCACAAGATCTTGGATGCCACTACGCCCGAAATCCACACATGGAAAGAAATGGCCCTTAAATATGGGTGGAAGGCCAAAAACCATAGTAACTCAGACTCACCTTGTCTCAATCTCTTATGTGAAGAAGTTTATTAACCCCCTATATCTTTTCTCTGAAATCAGGTCTACCCGCGGGCACTGTTGTTGTCCCCGAGGAGGATGTTTTGGCTGATCCTGCTGATGCGGCAAGGCTGCTTCAGGAGGCACTTACTAGAACAGGTGTCTCCGGGCTTGCTTCGGGCATAAGTGTTTCTTTACGGAGTCTCCGACCGAAAGACAAACAACCAAAAAGAAGACGCTCCTCCGCAACCGGGAAAAATAATAAGAGGGTGAAGATTGTTGCCCCCGAGTCATCTTTGGTAGTTGTGTTAATTAGCCCTCCTCGTGGGCCGGTCATAGACACTGTGATGATCGACGATGATTGAGAGGATAGTGATGGGGATGCTTCTCTACATAGAAGGAGACAATCCTCATCAACTCAATATAATACATTAGTTACACCATCTGAGGATGATGTCTCGGTGCTCTAGGGGGAATATGATATGGTGGGAAATGCCAACTCCCGTTTCCGTGTCCCAGTCGTTGCGCCCGGCATTTTGGGGGTGAGTACTGGGTGTCCCTTCCGTCCTCGGCTGATGAGCAACCAACAACCAACACTATGTTTGTTGCAGCTGCTTCTCACTCTTCAACTTCATCTTCACCAACACCAGCAACTGCTACATCATTTCCACCTTCATTCACTCTTCCACCAGCAAATGCTACATTATCTTCACCGGTCGCACCTGACCACAAAGAAGGTGTTCCTTTTCCTCCAGTCCCCTGTTCATGGGAATTTGGGGCAAAATTATGGTGCCGCTTTTGAAGATCCACAAAGGAGGAGGAATTTTACTCTTTCGGTCTCTACCGGATACAACTTGTTATCCCAGTCGGTGGAGCTTGATAATTATCTGAAGCCTTTGGCTTCAGAGAAAGAGTGGGAAAAGATTCAGGCACTCTCGGGAGAGTGTTTTTTGAACAACTCCATGCCCAACGCCGCAACGGTACATTCCTTTCTTCATTTGTTATTTCTTCTATTTTTTCCTGAACATATCCTG